CCCCGCCCCTTCTCCCCCTCCCCCCACCCTCTAAAAGTGTTGCTGGGAGCTCAGATTTCGCCTTTGAAAAAGCAGCGTGTGATACTTTAGATGAGCACCTCGCAGATAGCTGGGTTGCTTGATTTGAATTTGAGGAGTTGAAAAGCCTGTTTACTTTCTTGCTTTGATGTTGGGTAGATCTGGTTTTGATTAGATCAATACCCTTTTCTCTCTCCCCACCTCCCCCTTTCCTTTTCTTTCCAGAGAGGAGGCTCAGATGAGCCCCTGCTGACTTGAGAGAAAGAGAGACCACGCCGATTGCTGAGAGGAACTGGAAGAAGAGAAATCCACAAACTCAGTGAGAAGAGCTCCCTCACCATGAGTAGCGCTGTATTGGTGACTCGCCTCCCGGACCCCAGCAGCAGCTTCCGAGAGGATGCCCCGCGACCCCCGGTTCCCGGGGAAGAAGGGGAGACCCCACCATGCCCGCCCGGGGTGGGCAAGGGCCAAGTCACCAAGCCCATGCCTGTCTCCTCCAAAGCCAGGCGGAACGAAGATGGGTTGGGGGAGCCCGAGGGGCGGGCATCCCCGGATTCCCCTCTGACCAGGTGGACCAAGTCCTTGCACTCCTTGCTGGGCGATCAAGACGGTGCTTACCTCTTCCGGACTTTTCTGGAGAGGGAAAAGTGCGTGGATACCTTAGACTTCTGGTTTGCCTGCAATGGATTCAGGCAGATGAACCTGAAGGATACCAAAACTTTACGAGTAGCCAAAGCGATCTATAAAAGGTACATTGAGAACAACAGCATCGTCTCCAAGCAGCTGAAACCTGCCACCAAGACCTACATAAGAGATGGCATCAAGAAGCAGCAGATTGATTCCATAATGTTTGACCAGGCACAGACTGAGGTTCAGTCGGTGATGGAGGAAAATGCCTACCAGATGTTTTTGACTTCTGATATATACCTCGAATATGTGAGGAGTGGGGGAGAAAACACAGCTTACATGAGTAACGGGGGACTGGGGAGCCTAAAGGTCGTGTGTGGCTATCTCCCCACTTTGAATGAAGAAGAGGAGTGGACTTGTGCTGACTTCAAGTGCAAACTTTCACCCACTGTGGTTGGCTTGTCCAGCAAAACTCTGAGGGCTACAGCAAGTGTGAGGTCCACGGAAACTGTTGAAAATGGATACAGGTAAGACTTCAGGGGCTGTGGGGGCGGGTTGAAGGATGGTATGGACTTTGCAGATGCTTTCAGTTAGAAAGGGTGATTGGATGGATGGATATGCTGCGGAAGCTGACAAAGGTCTGTTGAGAACCAGGACCGCTGGCCATGAACGCTTTGATCTTGCTTTTTGTTGTTTTAAGGGGAAAAAAAGTGATGTACATGCAGCTAAATTCCTGCAGTCTTCTAGTGCTAACTTCAAACAGTGGCAAGCAGTATTCATTAATATGGGTTACTTATTATTCTAGACTAGAGTCTTAGAAGGGGTTGAGAGGGAGAGACAGAGGACAGCAGCTTTTGATGCTTCTGAGTCACCAGATCCACTAAGCACCGGTTTTGGAAGGGGTCATTTCACCACTAATCAGTAGCGAGTGGAATTAATATGGCTAGGGAGGCAGCTGGGTTGAGGTGGAGGCACAGGAAGTAACGTGTGTACCCACTGAGGGGTAAGTGGGATCTTTTGAACTTTTATGTTAAGATAAGAGCCAGCAATTGGCTTAACAACTGGTTCTCTTTGTAGTATTAGATATTTACCCAGCAAGAAATGGTTCTAACTAGGGAAGACCCTGTGACTTTCCCGAATGAAGGACCCTTAGCTTTAGAGTCTGCTGATATATTAATCCAGGTTTTAAATTCTTGTGAGTCTGAGGGTCAGAACTCAGTGATTATTTTGTTGCTTAGTTCCTATGGAGAAGGGGTCTTGGCCTGGGAGGACTGGGGCCCTGGAGTACTTTGTTCTTTTGAGGCTTCAAAGACAAGTAGTCCTTTACAGAATGGCCAAGTCTTAAGATTCTTGACCTTTGGAGGCAACTTCAGACCTTCTGTTAGGATGTGTTTTTCTGTTTCTTCCCCCTCCCCTCTTAATTCTGGGTTGTTGCTTTTGACCTGCATGGGGCGGCACTTGATTGCGATCTGAATGGCTTATCTTGCTCCTATCCATGTGAATTTCTCTGTGTGTTAGGGACCCAGGAAGTGACCTGGTAGCTGCCTCTAGAGATTTCCCTTTCTCTGTAGGATGTGGCCTCCAGTGTCCGGTCACAGCAGGAGGAGAAGTAGGCACCAGATAGTTGATCCTGAGCCTCTTGGGGTAGTCAGGTCTGAGCCTGGCAGGTGCGGCCAGGAGAGTTGACTGCTGGCAAGGCGGGGCATGCCTTGTTCTCCAACCACCAGGGGGCATTCTTAACAGCCCTGGGGACCAGTTTAGCTACACTCCGCCATCTGGTCTACACCTAAGTGGAGCGGGTTAAATTTTGCAAGGAGGCTTAGGATGACATGACTGAGTTGTTTCAGTGTTGTCATGCTTATGGATTTAGGTTGTTTTGGAAGAAGATTTGGGGTCTGGCCTCTGCAGCAGGTTAGTCCTTGGGCACCTGCTCCATTATGAAAACACTGGAGTAAACCTCGGTGCTCGCCTCCTTGCCCTCCAGCTTGGCAGCCGTAGCTGAGACTACTTAAGGCCTGTGGTAAGGCTGCTTTTCCAGGGGCCTTCTGACAGTAGAGCTTCTGTGTCTCCCAATGTCAGGACCTAGAGTGTCACCTTTGTAAATAGCACAGTGTGTGGTTTTGGATGCCATCTGTAAGAAAGCGCTCCCCCGGCAGGACTCTGCTGTGGCTCCTCCTCTTTGTAGGTGGGCAGTATAGACCCAGCCTTGGCATGCCTCCTCCCCCTTCCAGAGGCTTCTTCATCTGGGACATTACCAGGATTAAACTTGTTGGAGATTATTCATGTGAAGCCTTTGAGATCCTGGAGGCAGGGCAAAAGATCTGTTTTCTAGGGCTGCCTTCTTGGTTATCAACTGTGGGCATTGTTGATACAAAGGTGACAGCTTTGCATTGACCTCTTGAGTTTCCATACTAGATTCATATGTGCTTTCTCCCGCTGTTGGATTGAAACGAAGCATTTTACCTGGACCACATGAAGCCTGTATTTCTTAACTGGCCATTGTCAAAGAGAATTTAAGACATATCCAAATGATCTAATTTCATTTTAACATGTGAGATATTTGAGTGTATGTACAGTGTATTCACAGGTGTCCTAAGTTATTCAAAATCTAGGTTCCAGCCTAGTTCACCATTTACTACCTGAGTTGCAGCCTTTCTGAACCCCATGTGCCCATCTGTAAAATGGGTGGGCACTATCCCTTTTCTCTATGTCACTGGGTTATTAGGATCAAAGTAATAAACATGAAGACCTTTTATAAAGAGAAACGTTTTGAACAGATGTAAAGTGTTATAATTAGTAAGTTAATAATCATAATGATTGGGTATGTGAAAAGGGAACTAGGTTAGGATGTCTTTTTCAAAGAGTGACTTTTGAGTTTTAGCCCCTTTTTCGTTGTAAAGTTTTAGTGTACCCCCTTTCCATGTCTTAACTTTCTGTACTTATTGAACTTAAGTCTGTCTTTCCAGCTGGTTCTTGGAATGTAGGGATCCCATTTAACTTTTTTTTTTTTTTTTTAAAGATGACCGGTAAGGGGATGTTAACCCTTGACTTGGTGTTGTCAGCACCACGCTCTCCCAGTGAGCTAACCAGCCATCCCTATATGGGATCCGAACCCAGGGCCTTGGTGTTATCAGCACCACACTCTCCCGAGTGAGCCACAGGCCGGCCCTCCATTTAACTCTTATGTCTAATTCCACACCTTCCCTCCCCCATACATTCACTCCTTGTGCAAAGTACCTGGCAGATGGGACAGGCTTACTAAGTTAGTAAGATGAATGAAACAGAAAACACACGCCATGCTGAGGGTCTCTCATCAGCTGTTGAGGAGCTGTCTTGGCAACCGGATGTTCAGGGCCAGGGCGTTGGTCAACCTTCCAAGCACTGTTTGCCTTGGGCACTCAGAGGAGCCTCATTTTTAACAACTTGTTTGTGTCCTTACTGATTTGGTGTCAGGTTTAATATAAATAGTTGGGACGGAAGAGCAGGAATTATCCTCCGAGGGAAGGACTCTGGTTTACAGTGGTTGAGTGGGATGCCTGGGCTTTTGATGGTCTCTATAAATAACCTAGAGCAAAAGTGACCTGTTGGTAAGAGCACGTGTAAAAACCCCAGCACACAAACACACACAGGGTCGAGGTGTTGCGAAGGGGGGTTGTGGAATTAGGCACTCAGCCCAGCATTTATTTTGGGAAGGAGAATACGGCATTGGGTGCACAGAGTGCACCCTGTGTCCTTGCCTTCCTGCACTGGCCCTTGTGTGCTCCTGCCAAAGGCTGTCGCATCTGCCTCCCATCAGGCCCTCTGCTCTGGCCTCACTTAAAATAAGATGGCCTAGCAGATGGCCCTCTGCTGGCTCCCAGCGCTTCTTGTTCTCTGAAAGAACTCTGCTGATGAGGCCCGTTTTTGTGCGAAGCCATTGGAATCAAACTTGGCTTCATTTATCAAAGAAAACGATGCCATAGGAAAGATATGCTAGAAGCAGTAGTCCACAGTCAGAGGATGCGAGCTCTGATGAAGGCAGTTTGCTAAGATACACTCGTAGAAGTTTGCCTGTTTTCAAAAGGCCCAGTTGCCGCTGGCTGTTTGAGTCCCAGGCCCCTATCTGAATGCCTCTTGATCTTGCCTTGGGAAGTGCTTGTTGAAGAGGGTGTGGCCTTTTGGGCAGTGACCTTGTGAGTAAATTGTCAGAGGGCTCTTGGGAAGCCCTAAATGCACAGCCTTAGAAGCAAATACTTAAGTTGTTTTGAGAGGGGACCCAGAAGGAGGCCCAGAAGTTCCATTCTTTTGTGCTTTCTGTATGGGGCCTTTGCTCTGGTCTATGGGGAGGGGCAGGGACTGCAGCTTCTCATCAAGATAAGATAAAAATGGGGGTGGGGGTGAGGAAGCAACATTTCCTTTCCCTGAAGGTCCCAGGAGCCTCTGCTACCTGCCCACTGAGGACCCTGTGCTTTCTGAAGTTGCAGCCTAGGTCTGTGGATGCACACTGCGAAATCTGCAACACAGGCCTGCGCACTCTGTAGGAATTTTAAATCCTTGCAGCAGCTGGGAGCACAACAGTCCTGAAGAAATAATCAAAGCATCTGGGTACAATTACTGTAGCATGGTCGAGTTTCTTTCCTCCCTTTTTAAAAAATAATCACAAGAAAACAGCTCTAATCCGTTTTCTTAAAATTATATGGCGCTTTTGACAAAGTTCTTGGTTCTTAAAAACCGAGTCTCTGTCTCTCCCAACAACTTTGTCTCCTCGCTTCACCTCGTCTTGTTATGACTGTAGGAAAATCCAAGTACTTTACTGCAGTCAACTGACTAAAGAGCAGTATATTCCATTTTTAATGACTGGTCACACAGTAGTCCTCTATTTTGGAAGTGAAGGGAGACGAGTTTATTTTGGGACCTAGTGCTAAACAATCAGGGCAAAGCTGTGTGAGCGCACACCGGGTTTGAGTTATGTGTCTTTTCTGTCAGGGAAGAAAGAATGTCTCTTGAGTCATTTTCTCCCCACAGAGGCTAAAGTAGAATCTTACATTTGAGACGTTGTGGATGTGTTAATACCACCAAGATAGCAGGACTGAGGGCATGGAAAGAGTGTTGGAATGCTGTTTAAGGCAGTTTTGGCTTTTTGGATCTTGTACTATGCCCCTTAAACTAAAAACCTTTTCAGCAACCCATTTGATGGACCTAGGTCTTTGAAGGAGGTTCAACAAAATTTTGAGCTCCTGCCATGTGCCAGCAATTACTTTCAGCTTTGAACACACACTTGTGAAGAAGACAGGGCCTGTCCCCTCACAGAGCTTACAGTCGGGTTGCACAGAACAGGCATTTCGTCCAATAGGTAAACACACCAACGCTTTGTAATTTTAAGGCACGGTAAATACGACAAAAGAAATTAGGGTATGTGAGAAAACAGGAGCTCTCTGTTTTTTGGAGTATTACTGTGATCCCCCAAATCATTGTATACCCTTGCAGGGCCTCGAGAGAGTGTAAGGACTTGGTGCAGATGGCCATGTTTGTACTGCTTGTTTTCCAGGTGGATGCCCCACCTCCAAAGAGGCTGTGACTTGGCCCAACTGGTCAGCAGCTGAGCCAGAACCAGCTTTCAGCCTCTGACTTCCGGTCCCTACCAAGAGTTTACAGAATGTTCTGATGATTGGTTCCTGAAGATAGGAAGGGACCTTGAGGAAGTCATCTTGTCTACTCTGCACTGAAGCAGTGGCCCCATCCAAGCACCCCAGATGGTTGGGAACTTTGGGCTGTTTTAATGACTTGGGTGGTTCCATAACGTGTCCCCATCCACTCCAGGGATCTGTTCTAACCATTCAGAAGTGCTTTCTTCTTTCTGACTTGTAAAGCCCATTTCCTCTTATTCCTCTTAGTGGCAGAGGATGCACCAGAGAGCTGTCGCCCTCCTTTTGAATTCCCTTATCACCGAGGAGGCTGTGGTTACTGAATCGTCCCTCAGCCTTTCCTCCTGAAACAACCACCTTTCCTTTGCTCTCGCTGCTCTTTATCTTGGTGTCTGGGAATCCTAGATAGAGGACACAGGGCTGAGAATAAGGTATGGAAGGTCTTAGTATCCTCATTTAACCCTTACAGAAAATCCTGGAAGGAGGCGAGACTTCTTGTCCTCTGCAGATATGAGAGTGTCCAAGTAGAAGTTCCGAGTCACTTGGTTGAAAGTATTCAACAGGTTCATGTGCAGCTGCACTGGTTTGCACTTTCCAGTCAGTTCTACACCAACATTGGCTTCATGCTCCAGCCTCGTGCAAAACAGAGTCAAGGTTACAGCTGAAGTCCAGCTCCTCTGGTGATCTCCAGTGAATCTCCAGTGAGGCCTCTGATAACGCACTTGGCCTACTTGGCTTGGTTACTCCTTGGGTGATTGAGAAGATTAAAGGAGATGATTGGGTTGGGCAGCACCTACTATGTGCCAGCCCTGTTCTTGCTGTGGTGGGGAGGTGCAACAGGGAAGAAAACAAAAACCCTATCTCTTGGAGCAGGGAGCCCAGCATGTGCTGAGTGATCACCCAGCTGTAGCTCTGGGTTCATATTGGCATTTCTAAACCCACAGGATCAGGTTATTATCATTTCTAAGGTTCATTCTGGCTCAAAAACTTTATGACTGCTTGTAACTGCATGTTTGTTTTGTTACTCCAACTAGAGTGCAGGCTTCTAAAGACAGGGCCTGTGTCTCCCCTCTTCTTTTCCATCCCACCGTCCTCTCTCAAGACCCTTACACCAAATTGTGGCAGCAGCTTCCCACTGGGCTTCTTGCCTGCACTCACCTTTCTTTAGACCACTCCAACCTGCTGGCACATTTTGATGCCACATGCTACTGGAAGCACTTTCTCCCCTCCCCCTCACACTCCCAGCCTCCTGGGCCCTTCCCCACCCATGAAGACAAGACTCTGGCCTTACACCAGAGACCTACTTACTTTCTTCTCCAGGCCTTTTTAGCCCAACTAGTTAAATCCCTCTCTACCCACTCTGGGAGGGCTTTTCACTGCCTTTCCTCTCCCCAGTCCTGGGTGTTATCTCCTCCATCATGATGTGGAGCTCTATCGAGCACTGTGCTCCCATCTGTCACAGGGAGCCGTCCTCAACCATTCTGGTTGGCATCTTCTGGTCAATGCTATGCAACATAACATTTCTGAGATCTGGCTTCATGTTCTGGCTTAGTTTAGTAGAACAGAATCAAGGTCCCAGCTGAAGTCTAGATCCTCTGGCTGAGTCTCTCTTGGGGGCTAGAAATGTCCTCTCTATCATCTGGGTTACCTCTACCAGGTCATTCATATCCTGCCTCTTATTCTAGAAGAACTTTATAAAATGTTGAGGCTAGTCTTATGAACTGATGTGTATAAAGAAGTGTCCCTCCTTGTGGGCCCGTGAGAACACTGTGTGTACCTCCTGACACCCCCACGTTATGGTGATGTGCTCCCTCCAGGCCGTGGTGCAGATGGGGGCTGATATCCTTGGAGTTCAGCATGGTGCTGGACACCACGAGTGAGCAGGAGCTCAGTGACACATGCAGACGACTGGCTGTGAGCTTTCATGAGCCCCACTCTTTTGCCAACCCCAGGGCTATCTTTACAGCCCAGCTGCTGTGGCCTGACAGACTGTGTTCTCTTTGAGCCTTTCTTGCGCCTCCAGTTGGTTTTTTGGCTGCTGGCTCAGTCTTGGTGGACCCAGCGGAGGTTGCCAGGTCTTTGTAAAGGAATAGGGCTTTAATGGGCTGCAGGCAGGGTCCCTTCCTGCAGCCTGCCAACCTCCCTCCCTCCACCCCCCTACTTAAGTCCCTTGCTGATGACACAAGAGGAATGTGGCCCAGCAGGAGACAGGCACAATGGTGGGTCTGGAAGGAGATCAAGAGGGCGAGGTGGGGAGCCAGAGGCCACTGAAACAACAGGGCTGGAGACACTGGGGGAGGGGCCGGGCCAAGCTCTGGAACAGCTGTGCTGTTCTTGTCAGTCCTGCGGCCAGCCCTGGGGGGGTGGCGGGCATGGCAGAGGCCCAGCTCATGGGTAGGATGGGAGTCCTACACATCGTCCCGAACATGTGCGACCCCTTTGTCCAGCTCACTGTGGGCCCAGGGTCAAAGGGAGAAGGCCACACCAGGTCTCTGGTTATTTGCATCTCTGGACAAGGCTAACAGACCCCAATGGGGAGTCTAGATGCTGAAGATGTCTTGGGGCCTGAAATTGAATTCTTTAGGCACAGGCTTGTGTATGGGGGCAGGGAGGAGGGAGACATTCATTCTGTGGCCTCCCTTCCTAGGACAGAGTCCCATTCCTTCCTCTTTGTAAGTGTGTATTTAGAACTTGGTAGGATCCCCTGGGCTGCCTCTGGAATATCCTGTGCCCTGGCAGACCCCCTGTGGGGCAGAGGAACCCAGCCTGCTTTCTCCCCAGGTCAAACCAGCAGCTCAGCAGGTCCCCCTTTGGTGGCCTTGCTTTCTGCCCAGGTGAGCAGCTGCACCTGGGCTGCAGGTTAGCGTCGACAGATTGTGGGATTGTGTGCTTGGGTGTCCTGGGGTCACCTGATTACTTGGGTTTCTGGTGAGGATCAGTGACCACACCCCTGTTGTGCTTTTCCTGTAGGTCCTTCAAGAGGAGCGAGCCCGTTAATCCATATCATGTAGGTTCCGGCTATGTCTTTGCACCAGCCACCAGTGCCAATGACAGTGAGATATCCAGTGACGCACTGACAGATGACTCCATGTCCATGACGGACAGTAGTGTGTAAGTATTCTGCTGTCCCCTGCATGTGCATGTGTGGGAGTGTGAGCCACCAGGGCGCCTGGGCAGCATTGCTGGTTGTCCTCACTTGGCTCTGCAAATCCCACCTGTGTGTGGACATTTGTCTGGTGGGAGGAAAGTATGACAGTGGTGTGGTGCTGGTCAGGGAGGGTGACATGGTAGTCTAGGTACATGTAAGCTTGGAGCTTTTAAAGGAAAGTTGGGATGATACCTTAACAGAAGAAAACGAAGTACAGTAGAAGGTTAAGATGAATATCTATACATTGCTTGAGTTTAAAACACACCTCTGGTTGTTCTTGTAAGAACAATTGCTTGGCTTGTCTTGAAACCCAGGTATCCTGTCTGCAGAACCAATGGGTGGGAGACAGGGTGGCATTAGAAGGGTTTTATTGTTTGGGGAGGAAAAAGCATTGGAAGTGGGGGTGAGAAAGCCAGAAATTGCTAACTGGCCACTGTGTGTAGTGTTCCCACGTGGATATGTTTAAATGGACATCATTCAGTTCAGTAAGCATTGTGTAGTGCCTACTCTGTGTCAGATGCTGGGGACCCTAAGTAGGGGCTCTCTCCAAAGTTGTGTCTGATCTTGGGTCTTTGCACATGGGTGGCTTTGATTTTTGAAAGTAATCCATATCATTGGGGTGGTCTTATGAGGTCAGCAGGTCAGCAGGCAAGGTCATGCTTTGAGTTTTAGGTCATTTGAAGTCAGGTCATGGTGATCTGTGTTGATAAAGGGCATTGATACTCCATGAGTCTCACAGAGTGGGGTGTGTGTGTGTACGTATGTGTGTGTAGTGGTGAACTGGATGTCCCATCTCCTGCTGTCCTTTGACATTTTGATTCAAGGGACCCAGAGTAGAGCCTGGGCGTGGGTGAAATTCCCCAAAGGCTTCTCACCCAACACCCACTTGAGACTCATTGTTCCAGAAATGGTCTGTGAAGGCTTTTCAACAAGTGTTTTGGAGTTGGAATTTCTCCTGCCAAGGAACAGTTTTGAAAGGCAAACCCATTGAGCTGTGTCAGTTCTGGTGCACTTAGAGTTTGTTCCTTTTCGCTTCCTAAAACTGGACTGTCTATTCTTCCAGTTTGTTTGAAACTATCTAGTTTCTATTGGCCAGCATCCTGTTGCGTGGCCTGTGGCCTGAGACCCATCAGAGGGAAAGTTGGTGAGATTAGTTTGAGACTCGACTATTGGTTTTCCAGGTGGTTTTTATCGTGTTACCTCAAATTCCCTTGTTAGTAAAGGGAGAGGGATCCTTGAGGTGAAAGGTTTCATTTTAATATAAGAATAGCATTTTGGCATTAGTCAAAATAGTGTAAGGGTATACATCTTTCATCCAGTATGGAGAAATGAGACGTTTCACAGAAGTGGGTTTTTCATATTGACTGAACTCTTACGTGTCCACACTTGGGGAAAAAAAATGTCCTTTGATGGATATGTTTTTTAAAATATGTTTTGCTGTGTCTTAATTGAATCGTTATCAGACAAGGCAATTTATTTCTCAGTTATCCCATTAATATCAAGATCTGTTTTCATACTGTGCTGTGGTACTTCCTGTCGCATAGGCTTGAGTTTATACAGGGCTATCTGCCCCCACACATGCTGGACCACCCTCCGCCCCCTTCAGTAGCTTCTCTTTTCTCTCTGTCATTCTGCCTGCTGTCATTTTTTGTTACTGTCTGTGTGCTTGCTTCTAGCAAGTAATCTTCAGTTTTTGTGAATTTGTGGACTGCGTGGGAGTCTTCGTGTTACATGCAAAATAAGAGTATGTTGGAACTGAATGAAGGCATCGAATGAGTCTCCTAAGTCGAGTGTAGTTTACTTAAGACGCTGAGGCTTCTGTTTGGTTTTCTTCGAGACTATTTTTGGCTCGCTTCCTGGTGCTTGGCTGCATTTCAGTCTCCATCGTTGAGGTGTTATTCTGGGTTCATGATGAGATAACTTGGGTGTAGTCCCCATACTCGCTTCTGTTTGATCTACCCAAGACCCAATCAGCCAGGCAGGCAGTCACTTGTGACTTTTACAGATGAGGAAGTAGGGCCTACGCCTACACAGCCATTCATGTTGGGGGAAGAGCTCATATCACCCCACCCCACCCCCCACCCCCCGCCTGCTACGCCCTTCCCCCCAGGCGTGAACATTTCAACATGAGAAGTGTTAATAGGACCAGTTGGTCATGAGACCTTTGAGTCATTCTGCGTCTCTTATTTTCATTTATTAGCGATCAGACTTTCTTTTTTAACAAGTGGGGGGGGGGTAGAAGTAGCAAGTTCTGAGTTCTTCCTACAGCCTTTCCATTTGCTCCCCTCCTTTTGTCCCCCTTCCCAGATGCAAGACTTTTTCAGTTTTATGTAGAGGTGACCTTAAAACTCTTACCCCTAACCCCTTTCGCTAAAACACTTTGTGGACTTGAAGCATGGGGAAGCCACTTGCTGGAGTCAGAAGGTCACCTTTGCCAGTCACCTGTTCTTGGTAGCAAGGGTTTGCCTTCATGCCAGGGAGGTCCACTTTGATACAGAAACAGGAGAGGGCACATCCCTCACTTAGGAACTTCCTCGTGGAACACAGCAGATACGTTTGGGTCCTTGGTGGCAGGACCTCTGGCTGTTGTAGCCCCTTTTGTGGTCTCCTTGCCTCTTGGTTTGATGAGTGAACTAGGAAGCCACGGAAAGGCACCTGGGAAGCTCGGAGACCTGAGGCTCACAGTGCTGGCTCTGATCTTCCTGAGCCCTCTTCCAACCATGGGAGTATGGAATCAGATTGACCATCACAGTTGTGCCCACCTGGGCGTGTCTGTGCCAGCTGGGAGTGCACTTGGCATCAGTGTGGGGTCACCCTCCCTTGGGGTTGTTTGTCTCCTGCTGCCTGTGGTGGGGGACAAAAGGGTTTCCAGAACCAAGAGCCCATTTTTAGCACTTTGAGGTTCCTGTGGGCCTCAAGCTGCCATCAGTCCCCTGGGGTCCTCCCCACTCTCATGTGAGCAAGCTTGGCGTGTGCTGAAAGCTCGCAGCTCGGCGAGGTGCTTTCTGGCCGGCTGGCCCTGGGTGTGTGTGATCTGCCCAGTGCTGGGCGGTCACCCGGGATTCCCAGGGCTGGGATTAGACCCCCTCTTCAGAGCTCTGCCAATTGTGGGCCTCGTGCAGATGAGAGCGCTGAGCGAGAAATAAAGTGTGTGGGGGATGAAAAGCTGTACTGAATCGCTTTCAGCCCATTGTCATCTGGGGAGGCTTAGAGGGATGAGAGGGTAGCAGGCCCCTTTGAAATTTCCTTGAACAAGTGAATAGGAGCGCCCCATAAAGCGTGAAAAGAGCCCTGGCTGCTTCTCCTGTCACAATGGCCAGCTCGTCTGCAAGGGGCTAGGGAGGGGGCTGCCTGCCCTGCTGGGAGTTGGGGAGGGGACAGGGCTGGGAAGCAGGGAGAAGGGGTCACAGGCAGCTTTCAATAGACTCCAGAAGGTTGGAGTTCATTAGGCACAAGCCTGGGGGAACAATCGACTAGTTTGCGACAGAACCAGTTAAGTCCTGGAGGCCTTTGCAAGAGGCCTGGGGAGAAGTTGGGGCAGGGCTGGTCTGCACCGGTTTATTCCAGGGAGCCGCCAGCGCACCAGGGCCAGCAGGCAGGGCTTTAGAGAAATCACTGCCTACTCCCAGAGCCCACAGCGACTTCTCTTTTCCCCTTAAGTAAAAGGGGAAAAGATGGCTGGGGATTTGGGTCTCCATCATAGGCCTCTGAGAAGGCTGTTTTATGAGCCTCTTCTTCCAAAACCTGCATTCTCAGAAGAAATAGCTTATTTATTTATTTTGAGAAGTTAACTGCCAGACTCCCAGCTAAACCCTAAACCCCAATTCTTGGAGCGTTGAGGGCAGAAGGATTGTGGGGCCATTCCAGGACATCAGGCCTAGGAGTATAGAACTGAAAACATCAGAGGCAGTAGGGATCTTGGCCCTCAAGTGCTGCCTGGTGGATAGAGGCGACCAGGAATCAGGAGCACTGAGTTGACGGCATGCAGGTGTCTCTCTTCTTTTTGCACAGAGTTGCTTATAACCAGGATCAGCTTTATTCATAGGTTAACTTCTGCTCCAAGTGTCCCCAAGTCAGCACAAGATGATTTCCTCACGTTCCAGGCAGGGGGTGGTATGAGTTATTTATTTATTTTTATTTTTTTTATATCTTATTTATGGAGGTTTACTTTGGAGACCGGGAAATGCATCTGAGTGAACTTCAAATATTACCTTATCTTACAAACCAGGCTTTTGATGTTGGCTGTGATCAGAGGCTGCCTTCAGAGTGGCTGCCAAATGAAGATGCGCGTGGACGCGCGTGCACACGAGTCTGCTATTTCAAAGCTGCCAGAAAGCGACATTCAGGTTAGGTCGGGCACAGTGGAGTCAAAAGGCTAAGCTAATTGGCTCAGCTTAAATGGAAACTAAGTGAAGTCCACACTTCAAAACCAGTGCTCCCCAGAAACAGCTGGGCCTGGCAGCCAGCTCATGAGCTAACATGTTTATAATTAAAGGAGACTGTATAGGAACCAAAACTCTGGTGCTCTTCAGTGCACAGTTTTGAGCAGCCAGAAAACTGATCATAGACTTTTAGAGCTCGAATAAAAGAAGAGAGGCCCCCTTTTGGAATGAGGGGCTGTTTTGGAAGAAGATTCTTGACTAGGGGGAATTAAAGCCACATTTCTTTGAAGAAGGTGCCTCTTAAGCCTTTCTGAGCCTCTGCAAGCTGAAATCTCCCTTTTCTGTTCGGGTCACAAGTGGCCTTTCCTGTAGTTCGGTCCTTCACCTGCCCTGAGTGTAATGGGTGTGTGTGGGCAGGGTGCTTGTGAAGTCATTTGTCCCTCAATCTGGCAGTGACCTGCTCCCTGCCCGCCCCCCCCCAACCCCTACTCTCTTTTCTTTTTTTACCTTATATGGAGAGAGAAAAGGGTATAAAAGCTTTACCATTGGTTTCCATCTGGGACAGAAAAAAGAGGAGATTGAAGACTAGTGGAAACTTCAGACAGAGCCCTGGAGGGGATGGATGTGGGACTTTTCTCAGATTCTTGAAGCCTTATGTCTTTCGTGTCATGGTGGGGTCTGTGGGATGCTTGACTCCTGCCCCCCCCCCAGATTGTCTGCAAGGGGTCTGAAGCAGAGCCATCCACTCTTATGAAGTCCCTGGAAGAGGAGCTGTTCAGGAGACAGGTGTGGACATTGTCCTGCCGTCCTGAGCAGCAGAATTTGGATAGACCGGTATGAGACCCAATCTGTGGGACCCCTACCGCCATCCCACAGAGGATCTTAGGTGAGAGATGGGGATATCCACTGCCTCTTGGGAACCACCTGGCATTCCCCATAGCCAGTGAGTACGAAGTGGTGGGGGAGGGCTTTCCAGAACATTCTGCAAATTTCCCATTTGACCCTTCAGAATGTCAGGTGACTCCTTGGGGCTTAGGAAGTGGTACCCCATATCCAGACCATCGAGAGCTTGGCTTCTCTGGTTGGATCTGGGAGGGGCATCTTGAAATGAGGACTTCAAGTGTAGGTTGTTAAGAAGCCTCTTCTGGAGTCCAGCAGCAGCTTGGGTTTGGATCCTGGCTCTAACCACTACTGATGTAACTCAGGCAAGTTTTGGAACGGTTCTGGTTGTCTAAAACGGTTTGCTAAGTTTCTTGTGAGAATGAAGTCCGATTGCATGTAAGGTGTCTAAGCTAGCTTCTGACCCACAGTAGCAGTGCGGTGCCTGGGAGCTGGTAGCCTCAGGTTGGAAACCATCGCCTTGGGTGGGATTTGGGCACTGGTCAGGCCAGATGTGCTTGTGAGAATCCAGTTTTCTCTTGTGTCTGAAAAACTATCCCAAGGTGAAAACATGGAGTTCTGATAAGTAATCTGCAGGTTGCTCAGTAAGTTACAGGATTCAGAACCTTTTATCCTACTCTGCCCTCAAGGGCCTGGTCAAGTGCCCAGCCTCAGTGTGCAGGGGCCTGACTTGGAGATTGGTTACTTATGGGCACTGGTCAGCCAGCTAACCCCTCCCACAGTGCTCACTGTCTCTGCCCCCCTGCACCCACCCCACCACCCATCTCTGTGGCAGGACTCACACTTATGTGTAAATTGTGTAAGTTCTTGCTTTAGATGCTAATTTCTCTTCTCCCGCCCCCCCCCCCCCCCCCCCCCCCCCCGAATGTGATTATCCTTTATGCACTCCTTAGCCAAGGTTTGGCTAACATAGATTGGTTCATTAATCTACTGGAATCCTCGTTACCCCCTCAGTGGCCCTGTTTTCTGGCTCAGATCAACAGACTTCCAGAAAATGCGACCACTTAGAATTCTAGGGCATTGCAGATAAGGAGCTAGAGGTTGACCAGTTACTCCTGGCTGCTCCCTGAGTATTTTTAGGCACTGCTAATTTTCACCCACTGCTGGATGAGCCAAAAAGGTTTTCCCTCTATTCTGTGATGAATAAAACACCAGGGAAAGGGAAATAACCAATAACACCTAATGGCAATGTTTACCACCTCAAAGTGAGATTCATTATGGAAATGTTTGAACCCTGATGCTTTCATAAATAAGTGGCCTCCGGAAGGGATATCAGTGAGAAAATAGTCACACCATGACCATTCTGCTGTTTTCCAGAACAAAATTCTTTAAAAAAAAAAAAAAAAAAAATCATAGCAACTCCAGGTCATGTTTTTAGTGAACACTAGCTGGAGTGGAGCCTTGCTTTTTAAAAATTCTCCCACTTGCCGATTTTTTTGTTTGTTTTCATATAATAAGGACATATAGGGGTCCATACTTGCTTCAGGTCTTTGCCCAAAGGTCACCTTCTCAATGAGGACTTCACTGACAACCCCCCATTTAAAACTACAACTTCCCCACCTCCCAGCAATTCTCTCCCACTTTCCTGCTGTGTATTTCATCATTGTACCACCACCTTCTAACGTACGTCTGTTTTGTTTTTCTGTTTTTGCTCATATCCTGTACCACCTATTGGAATATAAGCTTCATAAAGGCAATTGTTTGCATTTTCTACCTCCTCTGTCCATTGCTGTCTCGCCCAGTGCCTAGAACAAGGCCTGGCACATAGTAGGTATTCAGCTATTTTAATCAATTGCACAGAATGCCCATAGTAGGCGCTTTTCTCTTTAGGCCCACATTGGTCATGTGTCTTTGGAGATTTGTTGGCTGGGGGTGATGGAGTTTGGAGCTCAGGGAAGGAAGGAGCCAAAAGCTCCCCCTGTGGTGGTTTCTAAAAAGATCTTTGGAAACGAGTGGGAGGTTGACTATTAGAGAATTCTGCATACCTCACTAATGCCTGGCATAGCCCTCTGTGGTCTTGGTCCCTGTTCCCACAACCTTTTGCCCTGGTACTGTCTGTAAGGCACTGGTTTCTGGATTTGGGATAGTGCGTTGCTGTGGTAACACGATTGGGAGGATCAGAGGGACTAAGGATCTCTGCTTGGGGCACCTGTAAAATGGGGGAGCACCCCTCTGTCCAGGCTGGCTGGAGTGTAATCCAGTCCTAAGACAACAGCCTGAGTCGAGCTCACCAAGCTCTTCCAAGTTGCTACTTCTGCATGCGAGAGGGAGCCAAGTGTCCAGAGATGATTGATGGGCAGGATGGAAAGTTGCTTTGGCAATTTGATCTTGGCTGGGTCCTTCCCCATGGGAACAGTGACGCGTGGCACCCTCCCCTGGAAGCGGGTGGCCGTGTCTGTTGGCAGGATCTCAGGATGCATGTATGAGTTGGCCCACGTGCTGAAGGCATCCCCGTGAGCTTGTGGATTCTGCCTTTTCCTTTCCCTTAGAGATGGAATCCCTCCTTACCGCGTGGGGAGTAAGAAACAGCTCCAGAGAGAAATGCACCGCAGCGTGAAGGCTAACGGCCAAGTGTCTCTACCTCATTTCCCGGTGAGTACAGTCTGGAGGGGGAGGGGAGAGGGAGTGGCCTAGGGTCCCCTAGGGGAAAAGAGAGGAAGGAAGAGCTGGACAGGAGGTGGTGCTTTGGGGCTTGATGTTGAGCAGAGTGATGTGGTTATGAGGTTCAAGATGACCTATTTTTGAACCTTTACATTTTCTGAATTCAGAAAACAAAGTTCTCCATGAGAAAGAAACCGAAGCAGTTCCTTCTCAGAAACCGAGAAATGTTAGATGATCCATGCTGCTCTCCATCCTGGTGGGCTCATTGTGTTGCCACCAGAATGGCAGCCCCCCGAGGGCAGGGCGTGTTGTCTATTGCCACTTACTTCTGTATCCACAGAAACCAGAACAGTGCCTGACACATAACAGGTGCTCAATAAACACTGATTGACTGAATGAATGAACGAGCAGGCCTGAGGCATCTCTGCCCCCTTTGGAAGGAAAGTCACATCCCTGGGACATTGCACGTCTTGTGTTGACTGCACGACTTGGTTGTTTGGGTCATCCATCTCTCTATTTACTTGGCCATTTCTCCTCCTGACGTATGAAGCCTGGAAGGGTGGCTTTTCCAACCCCAGAACTTGTTTTGCTTATTTCCAACCCCACAACTTGGTTCAGTACCTGTGGTTGAGTCTGAATGAATGAAGTGTTTGGTAGTGAGGAACCTGTGAGCAGCAACTTCCCATGATTGAGCTGGTAGGGGAAGGGCTTTTCAGGGACCTCCCCTTTTATTTCCATGTCCCCAAAAGCAGCCCACACATGGCCCCTGTACTTGAGTGCCTCCCCATCTGTATTCTTATTGCAGGGCTGTGCTTCCTACAATACCATGAGGTCTAGGTTGCCAGGATGCCCTTCCTCAGGGAGGGGAAGAGGGCACCCAGCCTTCAGCAGGAGTCTATCTATGAATCCTTCCTGCTGGCTGCAGAGAATCCAATTGGTCTGTCCACTTAGGTTGCATTTAGAAAATTAACACATTGAATTGCTAATCCCATGTTAGTGCACGGATTGGTGCACAGATGTGGCTCTTCTGTGGAAGCTCCTCACACAGACAAGGGCAGACTTACCTTAAAATTAGCATCTGAAGGTTGCCTCACCTCCAGCTTCTCCACACCCCCTAATACAACAGTACTGATGACATCTCCTGTGATGTTTTTTCCCCCCCTATTGGGGGTAATGTGTGTGTTAACAAAGAAAAGTTCTATTGCCCGAGCTTGCAAATTAGATGATTTTGTCCTGGGGTGTGCAAATCGACTTTCTCCATCAGGCAGGTCTTTGATCGGGGGCTGCATGGAGCCAGCCTGTGCCAGAGGGGCCATGGTGCGGACCCACTTCTCTGTCTCTCGTGTTTCTGCAGCTGCCTGGTTGCTGTGGCGAGGCCTATCTTGGCGGCTGGGGGAGATGCCAGTCTCTGCAAGTTGGCTTTCTGCTCCCCTCCACCCCATCCCCAAAGAAAAGGCCAAAAAGAGGGAGATGAGGAGGAAGGAGGCAGAACAACTGGGGGTCGGGGGTGTGGTGCGGGGACAGGAAGAGGACAGAAAGCTGGGCGGCGGGGCTCTCTCTGCTAGCTGCTTTTGGCAGGGGTCCTCTGTGCCTTTTTATATTCTGCACTTGATTTGGAGATGTTCCCTTTTCCCTTGATAGATCAGCTTGGGGCAGCCGGGCTCAGCAGTGTTCTGCTACTAGCCTGCAGCAGCTTCCTTCATTTTCTGTACAAAGACAGAGGGAGGAGGGAGGAGGAGAACGGGGGAGAGGGAGGACGGTGTGGAGACAACACCAGCTCAAAGGTGCGCAGCGAGCGGCCGGGAAATAAATTACCACTTCTTCTCTGATCCCGGCCCTGCGACTCCATTTTTTTTTTTTTTCTTTCCCTTTTCCTCCCTCCACCTCCCTTCCAATCTTATTTTTTTAAATTTCCAACTCCCTTTCTGTTTAGACTCCACTTTTTATTCCTTGAGTTGGTCTCTCTCCCCTCCCACCTCAGAGGGCTGCTATTTTTTTGATGTTTGACAACAGTCTTTGAAGATTTTCTACTTCAGAGTAGCTACTGATGGGCTGGTTGTACTACAGAGAGAGCAAGCAGCGCCTCTCGGAGTGCGACCAACTGCTCCTGCCCAAGGCAAGCGCTGGTGGGGACCGTGGCTCGCCATGAGGCCGCAGCGCCGGCGCATAAAAATCTGGAGCAGCCCAGGCCGCCTCGCCATCCACTCTCCACCTCGACATGGGGACACGGTGCCCGTCACTGGGTCCTGGGAGCTCTGGCCAAGCTACCACCACCACTGTCCACCTGGCCTGCTAAGTGTACTTGTCCCTTTCCTCCCGTGCCCTGTAGAGAACCCACCGCCTGCCCAAGGAGATGACCCCTGTGGAGCCTGCCACCTTTGCGGCCGAGCTGATCTCGCGGCTGGAGAAGCTGAAGCTGGAGCTGGAGAGTCGCCACAGCCTGGAGGAGCGGCTGCAGCAGATCCGAGAGGTAGCACGGGCTCCATCTACCACCCCGGGCCTGGGGCGGAGCCCCCCACCTGCTTCCCGGGTCACCACCCTTCTGCTGCCTTCCCTTCCAGGATGAAGAGAAGGAGGGGTCCGAGCTTGCGTTGGGCTCACGGGAGGGGGCTCCCACCCAGCACCCCCTCTCCCTCCTTCCATCTGGCAGCTATGAGGAGGACCCGCAGACCATCCTGGACGATCACCTGTCCAGAGTCCTTAAGACCCCTGGCTGCCAGTCACCTGGCCTAGGCCGCTACAGTCCCCGTTCCCGCTCCCCCGACCACCACCACCATCAGCAGCACCAGCAGCCGCAGCAGTACCACTCCCTTCTTCTGCCCGGGGGCAAGCTGCCCCCCGCCTCCATCCCACCGGGCACCTGCCCCCTCCTCGGGGGCAAGGGCTTTGTGACCAAGCAGATGACGAAGCACGTCCACCACCACTACATCCACCACCACGCCGTCCCCAAGACCAAGGAGGAGATCGAGGCGGAAGCCACACAGAGGGTGCGCTGCTTCTGCCCCGGGGGCACCGAGTATTACTGCTACTCAAAGTGCAAGGGACACCCCAAGGCTCCAGAGCCTGCACCCGGGGAGCAGTTTGGGTAAGTGTCAGGCAGACTGCAGTGTCCAGGGTGGGCTTTTCTCCCAGCCAGAGCTCTGGGCAGGTGCGAGGTGGGGTCACAGTCACAGGCGCTTAGCTTCTAGGAGGGAGGCGGAGGGCAGAGCTGGGCGGGGGAGCAGGTGCGCGATCTTCCGAGTCACTGTCCTCCACTGACTGAGGTATCCGATCAAAGGGGTCCTGGAGATTTAACGGGGTCTCTGGGTTGGGTGTGGTTCTTGGTTCCCCACAGTGGCAGCAGAGGCAGTACCTTGCCCAAACGAAATGGGAAAGGCATGGAGCCGGGCCTGACCCTGCCCGCCAGGGAAGGAGGGACCCCCAGCGGAGCAGGGGCCCTGCAGCTTCCGGGGGAGGAAGGAGACAGGTCGCAGGATGTCTGGCAGTGGATGCTGGAGAGTGAGCGGCAGAGCAAGCCCAAGCCCCATAGGTAAACACTGCCCGCCGCCATTGCGGCTGTCAGGGTCACGGGCACTCGGTACGGAGGTGTTGTGGGGATGGCTGTTTTTGTAGTCGGCCGAAAACAAATGTGACTGTTTGCTCCTGCCATCTTAATATTCAACGTCGGACTGAGCAGACCACAAAAATGTCATGTTTTGGCAACAACCCCTGTTCGTGTTATGCTAGAGTTATTTTTTTCCTCTCTCTGTCAGAGCAGAATAGACAAGTTTCTGTTGAAGTCAAATTTTCCAGTTTTTCTAACCCAATTTCTTTCCTTTTGCTTTCTGTCTCCTCATTTCTTGTCCAGTGCCCAAAGCACAAAAAAGGCCTACCCCTTGGAGTCTGCCCGTGCGCCCCCAGGTGAACGAGCTAGCCGGCACCACCTGTGGGGGGGCAGCGGGCACCCCCGCACTGCCCCCCGCACCCACCCATTTACCCAGGACCCTGCAATGCCTCCCCTGACCCCACCCAACACCCTGGCACAGCTGGAGGAAGCTTGCCGCAGGCTGGCTGAGGTGTCGAAGCCCCCAAAGCAGCGGTGAGTGGGGGGTGGTCAGAGATTAAGACGGGGATTGGGTTTGGAGGTGGAGTCCTGGCCTAGTGTTGATGGGGAGGGCCCTTCTTTTCTGCCTGGGGCTCAGAGCCCCCTTGGGGAGGAGGAATTGTTTCTGGGTGAGTAAGATGTGCTCTTCCAACCTCTAGAAGTGGTTCTTTTCTTTTTTTTTTTTTTTTTTCCTTTTTGTCTTTTTTCGTGTCCGGCAATGGATCGCAACCCTCAGTGTCGCGCCCGCACCTCGCTCAGCCAGTGAGCGGGAACCGGTCTGTATGTGGGATCCGAACCCTCAGCGGGAGCGCCGCCACGCTCCGAAGCGGCGCACTGTAGCAGTGCGCCACCGGGCCAGCCCGTAGAAGTGGTTCCTTTTACTTGTGTTAGTTCTGCTAGAGTTAAACCAGGATCTGCTTTTTAGGCAAGTCATGCCTCAAAGTAGGAGAATGAATTCCCGTACAAATCTCACTCCTTACAAATGTCTTGATATTTAAGGTGGCTAGGTGAGGGTATAAGAAGCCATGACAGGTGGAGAATCAAGAGCCTTCGGCCCTTTATCGGGGCTGGAAGTGTCCCATCCTGGACTAGTGGGGGCTGAGGATGGCTGTCCTCAAGATGTCATCCAGGCCTCCCCCAGCCACTGTTAACACAAGACCTTGGTTGGGTCCCCACAAGGATGGAAATTGGGTCCTTGTTTCTTTAGGAGGCCAAAGAGAGTAATTGTCTCTCTGTCCCCCAGTTGCCCTGGGGATGACAGTAAATCTCTAAATCTCTCATCATGACTGTGTCCTCAGGTGCTGTGTGGCCAGTCAGCAGAGGGACAGGAACCACTCGGTCACTGGACAGGCAGGAGCCACACCCTTCTCCAACCCGAGCCTGGCTCCAGAAGAGTGAGTGTCTTTACCTGGCATTACCAAGCTCTGCCGAGCAGTGTGTTTCAGGGTATTCACTATCTGGAGTTGTGTTTTTGTGGGACTTCTTTTTGTATGTAAATAACCTTGACTTAATACTAGTGATGAGGAATGGCGAACACGGATGTTACCGTTCACAAAAAACCTGTGTGTACTGAGCAACATATCCACAACACAAGTTTTCCTGGGCATAGTGGAGTCAAAAGCTAGGACATGAAGCCATTAGCAGTTAGGTAAAAGGGACCCCAGATCTGGATGGCAAAGTTGCTCCCCATTCACCTTGCAAGTTAGCGGTACCAGAAACATCTTTGTGTCACCCCTGAGCTGAAGGGAAGGCGCTTTTCCACCGTTGCAGAGATCGAGAGGACCTCTTTGTGTTTTTGCTTGGAGAAAACAGAGTATCTTCCCTCGCCTTGGGCACTGATTCTTTTCGTAATTGTACACACTTGTGGAGTGGACCGAGAAGCCTGGCTCAGTTGAATTACAGGATGATACATTTAAAATGAAATCTGCTGCAGAGATCTGAAATGGTCTCAATAAAGTTTTCTTTCTTAGCCTCTTCGTCCTGAGCAATGAGCAATGTGTGGAGTCCTGAATAAGCCACCTCCCTGGACCGTTCCGTTGTTTTAGTTGGTTGACCTTAAGTCTGCCAGCTATCCGGGCCAGCAGCTTTTATTTTTTTTTTTAAGCCACTCTACAAAAACTTGGAATAAACGAGGAATTTGAAATGACTGTGGGCTCACTACCCTTTAGTTGTGCCAGAATGAGGGGTGGGTGTCAGGCCTTGAGTTCATGCCATGCCTGGAGGTGGCCTGCTCTGGTTTCTCACCCCTGACGTGGGTGAGCCTATGCAGCTCGCTGGGAATTCTCTGCTCCTCGCTGCCGAGCACCCCACTTGTACTAACCTAAAGGAGGCTGCTGTGCACACACATTTGCTGAACGTGAGGGAGATGATACCAACTTGTACAACCAAAAGGGCCTCATCCCTTCCTGTACGCTCCATACAGACCATGTGGGGTTGGACTGCGTGTCCACCAGGGGTGGCTGCCTCTGTGACATGGGGGCCTTGCCCCAAACCTCCTTTGAGCTCATAGTTGTGGCCTCCATGTTTGGGTTCCCTGTCCCTTAAACACACACATGCAAGTGTATTCGCTTTCAACGTGCGTCCACTTTCAAATGCTGAACTTGTCGCATTCTGTCTTATTTCCAGTCACAAAGAGCCAAAGAAACTGGCAGGTGTCCACACGCTCCAGGCCAGTGAGTTGGTCGTCACTTACTTTTTCTGTGGAGAAGAAATTCCATATAGGAGGGTGCTGAAGGCTCAGAGCTTGACCCTGGGCCACTTTAAAGAGCAGCTCAGCAAAAAGGGAAATTATAGGTAAGAGTCCTGTGGTTTTTTCCTGCTCTAGGGTTTCTTTGCTCAGAACGAGGAGCCAGCGCCTGGAGCAGCTCCCCTGGCCCGGGCAGACCCGGAGGGGCTGAGGGCGGGTGCTCGGGAGGCCTGGAGTGGCCGCCGGACGCCTGTTCCTCCTCGTTCCCTCTCTCCCCTCACCACTGACAGTAATAACACAACAGCCACCATGAGTGGGAGGCCACTGGGAGGGTTCCCTGGGGACCTGGCTGGGCTTTTTCTACCAGGTGAACAGGACGGAAGAGGAGTAGCCTTGCTCTGTCAGGAGAGCTGGGCTTGGGCCGAGCTGAGGTGGCTCTGCCTGAAATTGAGGGACGTGTGTGTGGAAGGGGCTGGTGGAGAGACAGACAGACTGATTAGGAAGGAGGACCCAAAAGCAGCTCTCCTGGCTTGGGTGGAAGCGAGACCCCCACATTGAAGGCTCAGAGAAGGGCAGAGACCAAGCTCTGAAGTGCTGGCAGCGTTCTCCTTACCTGGCCTTTCTGCCTGGAGAACTATCTCCCTGGGTCTTACGGGTTACTTGAAGCAGGGATGCTCTTTTGCCCATAACAAAGAAGTGGCCAGACCCCGTGGGTGGGCGCCGGGTGAGTGGGGCTGGCCCCTCTTCCTGCCTGGGCCCAGGGAAGGAACTTAACCTCAGGGCCGCCTTTCCCTGTCTGCCGGGTGGAGGTGCCCCTGGGAAGGTCCACGCTGACCTTGCAGGGCCCTTGAGAGGGTTCAAGAGCTGCAGAGGACAAGGGCGGCCGTTTCCTGGTCACTTTCCTCTTGATGAGGGGCAGTGGTGGCTCCACCTCAGCTCATCCAGAATCCTCCCTGCCCCTCTCCATGGCCTTCAACCAAAGGGAATGTGTGGCTTCTGCTGCACTTATGTCTTGGGTGCAAGCAACCAGGGAATCCAGTTGTAGGAGGTGCTCACTCCTGGGGTCTGAACTTGACGGAATGTGCCGCCACAGTTGTGTGCCGGGGCCCTCTGCACAACTGCAGCCCTGCCCAGTAGGCATCTCCCCATTCCCATCTCCAGAGCCAGAACTCTGAATATCTGAACAGCACTTAGCCACCTGCCATGTGGGTCCTGGCCCCGATGCACCTGCAGGGGCCCTGAGATGCCCTCCCTTCCAGAGTGGGCCTGTGTAGCTCCACCAGCCGCCTTCATCTGGGAGTCCGCTTGGGCAGGGGCCCAAAGTGGTTCCTTCTATTGCTTTTGCTGGGGGAAGGGATGGCGGTTGGGCTGAGACCCTGCAGGTGATTGACCAGCAGGGCGTGTAGCTGGGCCTAGATCTTTCCCTTTCCCACCTGGGCAGAGACAATCCTGAAAAGGCATCAAAGGGATTGGGGAATAGGCCTGGCTGCTGCTGCTGCTGCTTTTTTAAAAAATCGTGAGAAGACACAAGGTGGAACTAATTACACAAGTGTGCCCCTCCAGGGATTCATTTTGATCTGGGCTTCGCCTTGGCTGGACTTTGAGTGGAACCACAGGTGACCTTCAGGGGAGGAGAGCCATGAGCACCCAGGAGAGGCTTGCAGGAGGGTGCCTTGCTCAGCCACTCCGGCCACATCTGGCTCTGATTTTTTTTTTTCATAAGGCACACAATAAGCCTGGCTTTGAAGCCCTGGCCTCCCCTTTAATGCACAAAGACTCGCATAAACGGTCGACTCTCAGATTCTTTCCTGATTGGATCAGGCTGTGGAAAGTCCCTCCCAGCCGCCTTATCTCTGCAGGGCCTGAGCTGGACTCGGTGCCCTCCTGGGGGGTGGGGGCTCAGGGTGTCCTGCCTCACCCTCCCAGCCGGGCTGCTGCTCCAACATCTTAATTTGCAACCCCCCCCCCAAATAAAAAAGTCCAGTGAGGGGGCTGGGGCTGCGGAGGGGCAGGGAGGCTGGGACACATTGAGTAATCTCAACATGGCAGGGATTCAGAAGCAAACAGTCCCTGCAGACGTGCCAGACGCTATTGGTGCCAGATGTCAGAAGAAAGTGGAGGTTGCCACATAAAGCATGTTGCAGTGGAAAAGCCCAGTTCTCGGAGAAAGCGAGGCCAGCGCGGCTGAGGTCCTGGGTGGGGCCGAAGGCCATTGCGCCGTCCTCCCTGGAAGAGGCTGCGACTGTGTGAAAGTCCACTGTGTGTTGGCTCTGAGGCGCCGTGAAAGCCCAGCTTGGTAAAGCCAGAGCAGTCAGAGCTGAGGGCTGTGGCCGGGTTGCAGTGGGGGTGGGGCCTCTTGTTTGGAAAAGTGACTTTTCCACTGTCTCTTATTTCCTGGGCACAGGGCCCCTCCCCATTTTCTCACCGTCTCCTCGCAGGTGCCCCCTAAGAATTTTTGATCCCTTGACACGAAGCATTCCCACCGCCAACCCATTGGAGGCCCGCTGCTGTGCACCCCGATGTGCCGGCTCAGCCCAGGATGCTGGAAACAGCCTTGACTAAACCCAGCTGTTTCACTTTATTTAGCCTTATCTCCTATGAAAGTATTTGGCTTGCCTTCATTAAAAGGAAAAAAATTAGCTCTAACCAAGGGGAGGTTTTTTTTTTTCCCCCTTAAGAGAAAAGACGAAAACCAACCATAACCCTGAGACACAATTAAATGTTTTAAAGGCTCTCCCTCTCCCTCCAGGGGACTGTGACCTTCCCTGTGTGAGTGGCCTTTATGGGCTGGAAGTGACAGCTTGCAGGGGCAGGTTTAATCCGTCTGAGGGGTCCTCCTTGCTGGCGATGGGGAAGGAAGAGGCCTCGCTTAATTTCCTCCAAAGGGGCTTGGGAGTGGGCCTGGCTGGTCATTTGCATCCGTACAATTAAACAGCCTTAGAAGAAGGAGCGCTGGGGTGGGATAAAAGGAACCTTTAATCAAGGGGCATAATAGAAGGGCCTTTAGCGTATGACCCTGGAGGGGCAGGATGGGAGAGGAGGCAGGGAAAGCAGGAGAGTGGGGAGGGAGGCTGTCATGGGGCGGGGGCTTCGGACCCTGGGAAGCAGCAGTGGGCCGGCCCACCTCCTATGCAGCTGTGGGGGGACCGTCGGAGGGTTGGCACTCAGGCGCTGGAGGGTGGGAAGGATAGGAGGCCTCTAGACCGAACTGATACCCTAGCTGGAAGCCTGCCTTCTACAGACTTCTGCAGGTTCAGGTTCTGCAGGTCACAGGTTCAGGCTGGCTGCTTGTGGAGCTGAGTCTGGGGTCTCTGAAAAACTCCAGGCATTTTCTCTTCCCATTCTCTCCCTCACCCCCCAAAAAGGGGTGTGTGTGTCTGTGTGTCGGGGGACAGCAGAAGTCTGGGCTCAAGGGGTGCCCAGCCTCCTCCTGGCCCACCTGTCTTGTGCCGCTTGGCCAGCCAGAGGCCGTCTTAGTTTGGGTGTGGGCAGCAGTCCACATGCACACCTGCAGTCACAGGCTCTTAGGACACTTTAGTCTTCCACGTTGGCACACTTTTAAACAACGTAGAAAATGCAGTTTACCAAGAAGCTTTTCCGGTTTTCCTTTTAAGGTATTACTTCAAAAAAGCAAGCGACGAGTTTGCCTGTGGAGCGGTTTTTGAGGAGATCTGGGACGACGAGACAGTGCTCCCCATGTACGAAGGCAGGATTCTGGGCAAAGTGGAGAGGATCGATTGAGCCTTGGGGGTCCGGCTTTGGCCAACTGTGGAGCCGAAGCGCATGTGACCTGTCTTGGGCACGAGCGACCACGACAGAACACGTTGAAGGAAAACTAAACCAATGAAGAAGACAAAGTCTAGGGAAGAATTGGCCACTGGGCCTTGGGGAGGGTGGGAGGGGGTGATTTTCATTATTCACGAGCTGAGTACTGAGATAAGAGAAGCCTGAACTATTTATTACAAACATGACCACTCTTGACTGGTGAAGATGCTGACTGTTTGAGAGGCTGCCATGCATAATATATGACTTGCTAGGGATCTGCAATCCACCAACTACGAGAAGCTGTGTACAGCTTACCTGGACAGGAACCTTACTGATATTTATTGAACCATTGATTTCCCCCATCCCCAGTTTGTGATATGCTGCTTTAAACGTGGAAGGGGGAGTGAGGGAGTTTTAATTGTTCTGTCTGACCTTAGGAGTTGAGCTAGGAGTGCGTGCATAACCTTCATTCACAGGGGAGTAGGCTTTGCACTGCGTTTCTCCAAGTGAAGACAGACTGTTTTAAATGGTGCCCTACCATTGACACACACAAATTGGTGCATTTTTTTTTTCTATGCTGCTCTATTTTGTCATAAAGGTCTTGAGGGTTGACTGTGTGGCAATGTCATCGCCATTTTGGGGTTGTCACGTTGGATGGGAGGATCCGTTGTGGAGGAGGTGGGGGAGCCTCGTTGTGGCCCCAGGTTTATCCTGTGACTGAGGTTCCTCATCTTGAAGCCCCCCACCCCCAGGCCCAGGGCCCAGTGGCTGAGGCCTGTTAGAATCACTGTCTGGTGGTTCAAGCTTGTGCTTTTATTGAAATGACAGTTCCTTGGTTTTTGGTGTTTGGGTTTTTTTTTTTAAAGCCTTTGGACCACAGCCATTCAGGAAACTACCCCCGTGCCCCGCAAAGAAGTGAACAGTTGTGGGGAGACCCAGCAGCACCTTTCCTCCAGACACCTTCATTTCGATGTTCGGGTTTTTGTGTTAAGTTAATCTGTACATTCTGTTTGCCATTGTTACTTGTACTATACGTCTGTATATAGTGTACGGCAAAAGAGTATTAATCCACTATCTCTAGTGCTTGACTTTAAATCAGTACAGTACCTGTACCTGCACGGGGACCCACGCCGTGTGTCGCCCTATATTGAGGGCTCAAGCCTTCCCTTGTTTTTTGAAAGGGGTTTATGTATAAATATATTTTATGCCTTTTTATTACAAGTCTTGTACTCAATGACTTTTGTCATGGCATTTTGTTCTACTTATACTGTAAATTATGCATTATAAAGAGTTCATTTAAGGAAAATTACTTGGTACAATAATTATTGTAATTAAGAGATGTAGCCTTTATTAAAATTTTATATTTTTCAAAGCGTCAGCCTCGTCTTTGAAGACCCAGGGCGGGAACAGGGCCGAGACCCTGTTATATGTGAACGTGGCCACTTGATTTCCCACCTGACTCCAGCCCATCTCCAGTGGACTGCGAGCCCCGGCCTCATGTGGGCCTGCCCTGAGGCTTTGTAAAGCTGCTGCTTGTTATTGGCTGAGGCTTTTTTTGGTCACGGAGGCTGCAGGCTGCAGGTGACATCTCCTTTGATGTCGTCCTCCCTCTACCTCTACATTCAGCCGCTTCCTCCCAGGCACAGGTGTCTCCAGTCTGGCCAGGTAGGTGCAGGGGCTGAGGGGCTGAGATGGGGTCCACCCAGAACTACTTGTGTTTCATTAGGTGTCTCAGAGGTGAAAAGCCCTTCAGAAAATGGGTTTGCAGACCTGGAAAGTCCAAATGGGGCCAGTGGGTTTTGAGGTCAGTGCTAAGCCCCCTCCCCGCACCACTCATTCTGGGATCTGATGGACAGGGCTGATTATTGACCTCAGCTGATTGATTCTGGGCCTTCAGCGAGGCTCTGGACTGGTCAGTGTCAGGAAGAAACAGCAGGTGGCGCGGGAGGAGGCGGCAAGGTCAGCAGACAGGTGAGCTTTGTGTGGCCGGCCGTGGAAGTGGGAGGCACGTGCGCCCTCCCCATGGGCTGGGCACTGGAAATCTAGGCTATACTTCGGATCTGCAAGAGCAGATCTATTTAAAGGAGTCCTGTGATGGGCCCTTTTTAAAAAGGGGTCTGTGATGGCAGTTGGACTTGACTGTGTGCTAAGTTTTTACGACATGGGGGTCTGCAAGGGATTGGGTTGGCTTTTTGTCCCTTTTGCCAACTGGTGCCAGGCCGGCAGGATAGAGTCAGGCCAGGACTCATGGCCTGCGTGGGGCAGGGGTGGACTTGCACTGTGTAGCCTCAGCGCAGTAGGTAGCCGTGTTGAGTCAAGGCTGGTGGGGGCTTCTGAACTGAACTGCCCTCCATGAGAAGGTGATGTGAGCGGGTCTGACGAGGGGCTGGAGGAGCTCTCAGGGCCCTTGACCTTGGTCCTCACCAGGCAGGTTGCTGCACCCTTCTCCCTTCTGGAATGGGGGCTCACAGCAGGGACAGCCCTCAAACCCTACTTTCAGAATCGTTAAGCTTCTTCCCCATCCAAAAGGAAGAAGCGGTGTAACCTGTTGTGCACAGTGGGTTGGGGGCTCTTGGGTGGCTTTTCATCTTCATCTTCAGGCCTTCTCCAGTTCTCCATGAGAATAAAGAGGCAGGATCTTGGGGCTCAGACAAACCCTGGCTTCAGACCCAGCCCCACCACCTTCTGGGTGGTACCAGCACCTTCTAAGCTGCATTTGTGAGAGAGACAACTGGACTAGCCGATCACTCCTATTTCTATTCTTTTTTAAAAAAAATTTATCTTATTATGGTGAGAACACTTAACATGAAGTATACCCTCCTAACAAATTTTTACATGTACAATACAGTATTTTTAAATATAGGCACAATGTAGTACAGCAAATCTCTTTACTCATCTTGCAGAATTGAGACATTATATCCATTGATTAGCAACTTGTTACCCTCTTCCCCCAGCCGGACAAGCACCAGTTTACTTTCTGATTCTAGGAGTTTGACTTTTATTTTTTAAATTTTGCAACCCATGCATTGTTTATTATTATTGTTGTTATTTATTTTCCTGGTGGCTGGCAGGTACGTATGGGGATCCGAACTCTTGCATTATTAGCACCTTGCTCTTCCAAGTAAGTCACTGGCCAGCCCTGTGGAGTTTGACTATTTCAGGTGCCTCATACAAATACAATTATGCAGTATGTGTCCTTCTGTGACTGGCTTATTTCTTTTAGCATACTGTCGTCAAGGTTCATCCATGTTGTCGCATTGCAGGGTTTCTTTTTTAAGGCTGAATAGTATTCTGCTGTATGTGCATACCACAGTTTCTTTATCTGTTCATCCAGATGGACATGTAGGTTGTTTCCACATCTTGGCTGTTGTGAATAGTGCTGCAGTGAACATGGGAGTGCTCATCGCACTTCAAGATCCTAATTCCAATTGCTTTTGATAAATACTCAGAAGTGGGATTGCTGGGGCTGGCCCGGTGGCGCACTGCTACAGTGTGCCGCTTGGGAGCGCGGTGGCGCTCCGCCGAGGGTTCGGATCCCACATACAGACCGGTTCCCGCTCACTGGCTGGGCGAGGTGTGGGAGCAACACCGAGGGTTGCGATCCCGTTGCTGGTCCCGGTCCGGTACGGGCACGACACTGAGGGTGGGATTGCTGGATCATGTGATAGTTCTTTTTAATTTTTTCTTTCCTTTTTGTCTTTTTTTCGTGTCCGGCAACGGATTGCAACCCTCAGTGTCGCGCCCGTACCGGACCGGGACCGGCAACGGGATCGCAACCCTCGGTGTTGCGTCCGCCCCCCGCCCAGCCAGTGAGCGGGAACCGGTCTGTATGTGGGATCCGAACCCTCGGCGGGAGCGCCACCGCACTCCCAAGCAGCGCACTGTAGCAGTGCGCCACCGGGCCGGCCCTCTTTTTAATTTTTTGATGAAGCTCCATACAGTTTTCCACAGCAGCGGCTCTGGTTTGCACGTCCTCCAGCAGAGCGCAAGGCTTCCAGTTGCTTCACATCCTCACCAACACTTGTCTTCTGTTTTTTTGCAAACAGCCATCCTAACAGGTATGGGGTGATACCTCATTCTGGTTTTGATTTGCATTTCCCTGATGGTTAGTGACATTGAGCAAGTTTTCATATGCCTGTTGCCCATGTATATATCTTCTTTGGAGAAATGTCTATTCAAATCTTTAGCCCATTTTTAAGTTGGGTTATTAGATTTTTTTGCTATTAAGTGGAGGATTTCCTTATATATGTTGAAACTATATGCTTCTACCTCTTCTAAGAGGGGCCCATTTCTCTGCTTTTCTCTCCTTTGAACACTGAGGGGCTTTTAACCTGGTGTGGATGGGCTTCCAGGCCTGTGAGTCCTTGAAATTGTTTGCACAATCACCTGTGCATGACTTTCTCAGGGGTGGCACTATAGCTTTATTCAATTATTAAAGGGGTCTAGGCCTCAAATGAAAAAACCATGGCTTGGTGGTCAGCCCCTCTCTTCCCTGTCCCCAAGTCATTTAAGACACAGCTCTTCCAGAAACCCCTCCCCACCTCCTTTAACTCCTTGCTGGTGTGGTCAGAGGACCCACAGCATCAGCCTCACATGGGAGCTTGGGAGAGGCACAGATGCCCACCCCCGGCCTACCGGGTGGCCAGGGACTGCGAGTTTCCACCTCTCTGGGTGATTGTGAGCATATCAGAGTCGTATTGCTCTAGCTCTCTCTCATCTTCCCCTTTCTAGACTCCTCCAGCTTGACCTTGATTCACTTCGTCTGTAGTCTTCACTTCCTAGGCTCTTCCACGTGCTCCAGACTTATTTCTCTGATTAATTCCCAACCAGATCTTTAGTGGTCAAGAGCAGGCTTTGGGTAGGGCACTCCGGGGTATGGGTCCACTTCCAGCTCTGTCATGGAGGAGCCAGTTTCGTGTTTCAGTTCTCTGTTCAGAACTAAATGAACTGTTCAGGGTAATAAATGTGGCCTCTTTCTTGCGTTCCTGTGATGGTGACGTGGGGATCTCACCCAGGGCCTCACTACCTGTTCTTATCATTTGCTCCTCAGGAAGAAATTCCACCCGCCCAGCCTTCCTGCTGCACGAGCTGGGGTCTGGCATCCTGTCCCTCCTGCTTCTGGCACAGAACCAACAGGGCAGAGGGCTTGCGGTTGCTTGATTTGGAAACAGACTTTCAACTGGAGCCAACCTTTGGCCCTCCCAAAGCATCTTCACGTTTTTCTTTATCAAGTCCATGGCCTTACATAGTAGGAAATTCTAAATGGACTCTAACCCAGGGTGACAGTTTCCTGGAAGGGTTTGAAATGTGTGGTTTTGGAAAAAGAATGCTGTTTTATTCTCCCCACCCAGAAAATATTGGGACTGTATTTATGTTGTCATAAGGAAAGGAGCTGGCAATCATCCGCAAGAAAATATTCCAGTCTATTTGAATAATTAGGTAAAGTTGTTTTTGTTTTTTGATAAAGAAGAATGTTTCTTTTTTTTCTTTTTTTTTTTTTTTACCTTTAGTATATAAATTGGTTGTACAGAAGTTTCCCAAATTACATAGCAGGTTCATAAGAGTGATTTACCTCCTCCTTAGCAATTATTATTTCACTCTATCAACCAGATTTCTTAGAAATCTGATATGAGACTGGGCCTCTACTGTACTGTATGATTCATCTCAGGGATGGGTAGTAGTGACTTGGTTTAAAACAAAAACAAAAACCCACCACGACCGCTACCAAAAAAAAAAAAAAAGGCATTTTGGTAAGTGTTGGCTGTTACCAGACTTATCCCAGGGAGCAGCCAGTCTGTTTGGTACAATCTCTGGGCCCAACAGGGAGAATTGGCATAGGACCTAGATCTGGCAGCTTAAGGGTCTGCCACAGGTAGAACTGCCCCCAGAACAGGGGCTCCTGCAGCTTGTCCAATGCCCAGTTCTGAAAACCTAACCCCCCCTGCTCCATCCACACTGACCTCGTTCCCCTAATGTGCTCTGCTGCTCAGGGCCTTATGCACATGCAGGTCCCTCTGCCGGGACATGCCTTCTCCCTCAGCCCTTCCTGAGGTTGTCTTCTTTCAGCCTTCAGGTCTTGACTTTAACGTCAGAGGTCTTCTCTGACCATGGGATCCACGTACATCACCGCCTGATCCTTTGTTTTACAGAACTCCCTTCGTTTCCTTCCCTGCACCTTCTAATTTATAACTATATTGTAATTGCTCACTTATTCATCCATGAAGCAGGAAATAAGTATATTTTATTCACCACTGTGTATGTAGCATCTGGCACAGTGCTTAACACCTAGTAGACATTCAATTAATATTTGTGGAATAGAAGCAAAAGAATAAAATAAAAATTACATTAGTATTACCTAAGATTAAGAAAATC